CTGTGGAAAAAAAGAAAGACAGAAAATGTCCTGCAGGTAAGGTGAAGTTTCTTAACTATGTAGAAAAGGTTGTCCCTTTTCTACATAGTTAAGAAAAGGCACAAATCAAATCTTATGCTAAGTCGCACGTGAAACCCTAAGGGAGATACATTGACTATGGATTTTCTTCAGATGTTCATGTCCAATCTTTTGGTTTCCGAAGTTGAGTGATATTACTTCATGGTCAGAGCTGAACATTCTTATTGGTGCATTTATTTCTTGGAGACTGGATAATTTCACCTGCCTTATCAAAACCGCCTCGGACAATTAGCAGGTTGCTCAAAATGCTGCTGTGATGTTTCTGACAAAGTCACCTATGCTTTCTCACGTCACAATGCTTTCTGTCCTGCTCCACTGGCTATACGTGCATTTCAGAGTACAGTATCACAAGATCTTGGTGCGTCCTTACAAATTTCTAATTTGACAAGCATTGGCATGCATCTCAGAAGCCTTACATCTGTATGCAGCTAACATGTCACTGAGATATTTGTGATCAGGGTCTGCTGGTTATGTTACTGACAAGGCCGAAAACTAAAAGTGACACATAGCCCTTCCAGCAATAGCCCAAGGAATTAAGTCCTGTTGAGTTTGAGAACCTTAGACCGTTTAGTTTTTCCAAAATGCTACAAAAATACACCATATTTGAAAATTGCTGAGCTTTTTATTATTTACTGATGTTCTATAGAATTTCAGGATATCTTTGCAGCTCATTCTGACCGTAACAGAGCAAGAGAGAGCAAAACATTCAGCAAATATCAGGAAAGTCACAACTTGCTTTTTTTCATCCTCTTGATTTTTCAACATCTGTCATAAAACTCGCCGGAAGTTGATAGCTTTTTGAAAATCCCAGAACCAAGGTAAAGAGCAACATTCTCCAAGACAAAGATGCAGAACGTGCTGCCCCAGCAATGTTATGTATCCTAGCTGTGCTAATTGTTAACAGAAGATGGCTGACTCCATAATATTTGTATTTATTTTAAGACATTAGTAAAACCTTGTTTTACAGTAGCTACTTTCTCATAAATACAGTATGACTTTCCTTTTGCTTTGAAAACAAATAATTCATGAATGCTCATTGCAGGAAAGCTAAAATTAATATTTCAATGGTGTTCATATTTTTGTATATTAAAATTTTTAAAGAGGAATCTGAACTGTCTAAACACAGCCAGTGTAGGCTTTGCAAAAGTTTTAAATTGGACACAAAATTCTGGTTGCTGCGTCTCTAACAACAACAGGAAACAAAAGAATCAAACCGCTGAGGTTTTAATGATTTACTGCACAAGGCCTTCTGCTCTGAGGAATACCACCAGAATTTTATCCTCAAACAACAGTCCAGCTGTTAAACCAAGGACAGCTGTTTCTTCCTACTTAGAAAGAAGACACAGCGATACAGGAAGGATAAGCACACAAATCTGACACACCGCTGACAAAAGAACCACATACAGAGAAACAAGCCGAACCTCCAACGGACCAACATGTCCACAGGGTAGCACTAAATGTCACTTTTCATCATACCTGAACACGTTCTGTGCCTTTGAAGTTCACAGCCTCAGATCACTCCTCTGAACATTAACAGCTGTAGAAAGCCATGAAATGCACCACCCTCAAATAAGGTCCATTACCGGCTTGGGGCCCATGGACATCAGAGGCAACATTATGAGTGATGACGTTCACATTAGAGTTTTTAGATAAAGTAAGCTGGCGGAGAGGCAGACAAGGCAGTTATTACTCCGCAGGGGTGCAACGCGAGTTTGAACGCTGAAGAGTATGTAAGAAACATAAATGGGTGACATAAAGCGCATTGTTTGCTTCGTGATGATTATGCAAGAGCGTTACCGCAGAAGCAATGATGATTACTGTCGTAACAATTCCCATCAACATCCTGAAGCTTTACAACGCCGTCTCTAGGCGCTGCTGTGCACGTTCTCTGCAGCTACGCTGAGTCACGGTTAGCAGGTAAGGGTGCAGCGAATGCGTGTCTGTGTGTGTGTGTGTGTTTGTGCAAATGCAAGGCAAATAAGGACGGAAGGAAGGAAGGAGATGGAGAGTAAGTCAAGTAGGGTCAACTGCACAGTTTTTGACCCAAATCACTTATCATCATTATTTTTTAAGGGGCACACACACACACACATACACACACACATTTGAGTACTTTTGCAAACCCAAATGCTTCTCTCACAGGTACACACCCCAAACACACACCATAAGTGTCTGGGAGGAAACTGCGGTTGTTTATAAACAATTCTCTGACCCTGTGACGTGAACAGATTCACTGAGGAGTAATTTATGAGATCAGGGCCAATGCGTGGTTCTGTCGGGAGATGAATGGTAATGAAGACAAAGAAGGGGAGTTATGAGTAACATCTGTGAGCGGGACTGCTCAGAGCCGCACGGGCTCCACTGAGTCTTGTTGGCTGCCATTTCGGCAGTGACAGATTGCTTCATGACAAAAGTTACTAAAAGCCTCCTTGGAATACTCCATCAAGTGTAAAAATGTTCAGGAAGCAAAGCAAACAAAGATAAATGGTTAATTTGTGATTGACATATCATCTCTCTTAATACAGATTGTTCCATGCTGGCAGGTTTATTGCATTTTGAATAAGCGGCTGCGCCAAAAGTTTGAGCGGCTTCTCAGGCGGGTGATTTGCAGCCAGATGTCCCGCTGCATTGTGAATTCATTTTTCTTGGCATCAGCCACAATTTAAGACACACACTGATCTGTGAGTAGCGCAGCTAAACTCTTTGAAAATTGAATTAACCTTTTATTTACTTAATAAAGCAAGCCATGACGTTTGATCCAAAGACTACAAATACAGAGTTGTTTAATTTTTTAATTTTTGGTTGCCCATAAAAGTTTAAGTTCATGAAAGTAACTTTATTTCAGACCAAGATAGTCTGAGTAAATATAGAATGCAGTTTTCAAATAATGTTTTTTACAATCTAGGGGATAAAAAGGCATCCAATCCAGCCAGTCCCCATGTAAAAAAGTTATGGCTCCAACAGCTAAAGCTGGTTGTGCCCCTGTACCACCAACAACTACCATCAAGCATTTGCAATAACTGTCTTTAAAATAATATCACTGGAGGAAATGCTGGCCCTCTCTTCTTGCAATTTTTTTTTAAATTCAGTCACACTAGAAGTCTTTGAGTAGGAACCTCTAGTTTAGGATCACACCACAGCACCGTAATCAGATTTAGGTCCGACCTTTAACGAAGCCACTGTAAAACCATCACTTTTTGAAGGAGTCTTGCTGGGTGTGGTTTTGATCATTGTCCTGTTGCACGAATAAAGTGCAATGAAACTACCACCACCACCAAAATGTGCCATAATTATAATGTTCCTTTTCTGAAATGCCATGTCAGCTTTATGTCAGGTGTAGGTGGAAACAAACTTTACACAAAAGAAAAAGTCAGATTTTCTTGGAAATCGCTGAGTTGTTATTGCCAATTCCACAATAAGCCTTTGTATTTTTTTTATTTATTTATTTTGCTCAGCAATGGTCTTGGAAGTCTCACTTGGGTGCTAGTGCTATTTTTTTCCTAGTTTCTTTCTTACTGTTGAACAGTGAACAGTGATCTTAACTGAGACATGCCAGACTTTAGATGTTAGCATTGTTTTTTTTTGTTGTTTGTTTTATTTTGGTACCTGGTGGATTGGATAACTGATGTACTATTGGAGTCATTTTAATAGCTCAGTCCTGAGAAGGCTTATCACAACTACATGTTTTCTCATTTGCGTACCTTTCTCTGGTATATGAAAATAGTTTCTAATGTGACGGTTTTGAGCTTAACCTCCCCCCCCCCAAAAAGGCTCAGTTTGAGATGTGGGAGATTAATCTTAATCTTATTACCAATAACAGATAAAAAATATGTTTACATAAAAGCAGTAAAAACAAACAACACAAGTTTGGTGATTAACAAAAAACCATCAGACAGAAACTACAGCAGAAACTCATTAGGCTGAGAATTGTGAAGTCATGATCTATTTAGTCAACAAACAACTGCTGCATCTCATGATTCGCCGGGCCTCTCAGTGGTAATGGTTTAAGCAATGTTCATTGCATCCCAGTGCCTTGCTCTGAGGTGCAGTCACACTTCAACTGCTGAAAAATACAATCACCCAGTCAGTACTCGGCTCCCCATGGCGCATAAAGTCACATTAAAGATACCGGCTATAAACGCTACCACTGTGTCATTAATAAAACCTGAAGAGAGGGAGCTAACTGTGAAACTGTGCTTATACCTAAAGCGTAAGACACCAACCAAGAAATCACTATCTTTGTGAATTAATGTAAGCCTTAGTGTGCACCTCATCTTTAATTAAATTATAGAAACCTCATTTAATGTAATAATAAACTTGTTATTTATGCTGATTAAATACAGTATCCAGCATGCTCATTGGCAACCAGGGTGAAGGTGTGTAAAGAGGCTTAAAATATATTCCACAGTTATTGCATTGGGATAATCTCACGCTGTAAAAATGTGAAGAAAATAATGCCAGTGCATTTATTAAACAAGGATAAATCTATGCTTATACCAGAGCTATATTTAACTGCTGGTGGTAAGCCTTAATGTAACAATTCCTAAAATTAGTTCAGTATAAATCCACCTGATTTATACTGAGTAAATATTTAGGAGGCACTCCAGGAAAAAAAACATTTCCTGTCCGACATTGTGAATGTCAAAAAAAGAGATTTTAAAGCTCACTCCGTCTTACTCGGTTAAATAAAGTAGTAATAATGTAAACATAAGAGGGTAGTTAAATGCAACTGAAACCTCAACTGGAACTAGTGCTGGGCAATAAAAAAATCCCGATAAGATTTTGAAAAACAGAAAATTTCAAAAGCAATCATAACGGCGGTTTGTGAAACTCAGTGAGACAGATGATAGGAAGGACCTGTTAGGCTGTATCAAGATGGAGAAGAGATTGTCAACAACAGCATGAACTTGATTTGTTTTCAG